GATTCCAGTTTAAATTCTCCCCAATTTGCCTCCTCGCTCAGAGAAAGCATTAAGGGTTGCTGCAGATGAGATTCAAACATTTCCAATGAGGTGATTTTGTGAGGAGAATTCAAATTAAAAGATGACTGGCATCAGTAGTGCCTGACAAGAGAAAAACAGGTTAGAAGGAATGCAAAAAGATAGAGAAATCCAGAAATTAGCTTTGCGTCAACTATATTTAAAATGTCCAATTAAAAGTTTCTGTTATTATACTCATATTATGATTATAGGTCATGGATTCCTTCATCACAAACATATATTATTCATGTTCTTGAAACTAGATATACGTAAATGGAATCGAAAAAGAACAAAGGACCAAAGACAACAGCACTTTTCACACTGGTCTGTCAAACGCAGGCAGAGCTGACACATACAATGTACTTGGCCACCGCTACACAATTCAGCTAACCCGCTTGGCTCCGACATCAGGCCAACAAGGTGGCAGGCAGGAGGGTCAGCCAATGGAAACAAGTTGGAGAGCCAGCTGAAGCCATTCACACTTCATTTGGTTTTTTTTGCAGCAGCAGCAGTGGGTTTGGTGCTTGGTGATGTCCAGATAAACACTTGACAGTAGATAATATGTGCAGAAAACCTGGGCAGCCAGCCATGAAAGTGACCCGTTAATTCATTCATTCAGATGGGATTCGGCTAAGACAAGCTTGAGGAAGCACTTTCACATCAAAGCAATACACTTCCTTGAACAGACAACTTAATTTATATAGGGAACCCCACTGAATGAAGGCGACTTTCTTTGACAAGAAAGCCCCGTCTCTACTGCCAAACACGCATCATCCACCGAAAAGGAATGAGATCTTACCGACCATTGCTTGGTCAGTGTGACAGATTCGGAGATGAACTAGAGCACGAGTGGGATAGCGAAGGTCAATAATATGTTGCCATGTTTTGATGCCACGAGACCCGAAACTGTTTGCTATTAAAGATTAAAACCAGCTTTTAAAAAGATGTGGTTGAAGACAGTCCACGATTTCAATTAGCTGTTGGTGGTCAGTGAGCCTGAGGCAGAGATAGAAAATCAGACAGATTTCTGGAAGAAGCTTTAAAGCTCACAATGCACAGTCTGTTCGAAACACACCACAGATGCCCTGACACTTTGTTTAAAAATCAAATGTTATTAAGGATGAAGTGATCGAAATAATCAATGTGTAAAACTGTATATAGGGTTTAGAGGTGACTACTAATCTAAATTAGTATGCAGTATGCTATATGGTAATGTGTAGTTTAAGAACAGGTAAGGTCTTCTGTCAAAAGACTTGATCAAATTTAGTAAATAAGGATTACAATGAAAGGAAAAGAACCGAATCAAACAATTGTTCCACAAGGTAATGCTAACAAAATGTTTGGCAATTAGTGTGGGAGCAATTTGACCTGAGAAAAATCATTGAGAGTAGTGACAGTAAGATATCCGGCCCTATCGAATCAGTGACCTCTCTGGACAAAGGTATGACCACAAGGTGAGGCAAATTTACATTAAAATGTTAAAGCAAAAATCCACAATTTATGTAAATATATTCAAGTACGGTGATAGTTCATTGCATTTCACTGCTCCTTCCAATCTATGCTAACATTTGGTTTTTTCATCACTTTGTCTCTTCTCACAAGGTAAAGTTAAGTTGTTCTCTGAGGTTTTTGAATAGAAAAAAAAGAGTACCGTATACATAAATTGGTTTGTGCTTATGTCTTCCAACAAACAAATACATACTCATAAATTTAGAATCAAACCATTAAAAGTACACAGAAGAGGGCATCGGTTTGCAGAAGCTGCCATGTTGCCATGTCCCATCATCTTGAGTACAGTGGCCGAGATGGACATCGTCGTTCCGCCTAATCGAGTTTTATGTATGTTGCTAGAGACCAGCCACATATGCACAACTTCTAAGTTAGTTTTGTAACATTTATGTAATTGCTGATGCATGCTCAATCATTCAGGTAAGTAAATCGCAAAAGATTGATTCCTTTCATCTGGATGTAGCACTTGGATGAGTGATGAATCTCAGTTTAACAGCTGGTGTTAGGCTTGAGTTTCCTAAAAATCACAGTAGTAGAAACACACGGCCGTTATGGTGTAAAGTCTAAATTTTAGTATCAATGATCTTTCTTGGATGACCGAAACACGTTTGTACTAATGCAGCCACCGTAGCTAGGACTTGAGGAAGGGTAAGAAAGTTGACTGCAAACTGCAATCTGCTGACATCTAGTGGTGAGATTATATACAATGTACCTTTAATGACATCATGTGATGTTATTAAAAGGTACAGTTATTTGGTAGCCAAATTCTAGAGATATCAGCGTCCAAATCCAAAGAAATATTAAAAGGAAAACAGAACTCTATCTAATGAAAGCAAAGAGTAGATTTTACTGCAACAGTAGACAATCACAGCAAAATTACAAATCACACAATCTATAAATCTATTTACAGGCTAAGCAAAAAAACTAGGTCTGGATTTTCCATTGACCACAGTCCTGTCTATAGTGTGCATGTCAGGACAAGGACATCAAACAGGAGGCCCCTGAGGATTTAGCTTTGAGGTAATGAAATCAATACGAGAGGAGAGTCACTCCAGCGACTTGTCCTTTGCCACCAGTTTATCCATCTGAGAAACAGTTTGCTTACACAAGCAGATCGCAGAGCAGATTCCAATAAAAGAAAATGGCAAAGCCTATTCTGTTCCTACTAACAGTAGACATCATCTCCCAGAGGAGTTCTACCCATTAAACAAATGCCATTACCCTGGGTTCAAATCTAAAACACTTTCCAAGAACTGAGATGTTCCAAGGTCAAATCTTTACAAACATAATGCGGCTCTCTTTGTGTTAAACTTGCAGGTTTTCGCTGCTTGGCTGAGCAGTAACAAGGCTGTGAAGCAGATGCGTTACTGTCATTCCAAAACAAGAACCCAGACTCATAAAACCGTGCTGTGAGAGCAGCGTTCAGCACCTGGAAGGTGCAGTCAGTCGGGAGGCAGGGGTGTTTTATGTGACGTTGCAGAAAAGTGAGATGAGGCAAAGGGGGGGGAAAAAGAATAGCAAAACTTTCTTTTGTGTGTCATAAAGGACTTTGCGGCGAGAGCTGTGATGCCGTAAGTCGGCGATAAACAACGGGAAGGAAGTCTGATGAATGTAAATGTGAACTGAATATAACTGCCATACACATCTCCCCTTTTTATTCTATAAAAATCTTTGGGCCTGTTCTGCCACAAATGACTGAGCTGTCCACTTGGCTCATTAGGCTGAAACTGAACTGTGTTCCTGCTGTCAAGGATAAAAGACATTTAACGGTGACACAGGAAGTATTTCCATGATCAAATAAAAATCGTTAAATGTGATCCAGTACATGAAAAACAGTGTGATAAAAAAAAAAAAAATAGAATAGCTTTATATAAACTTGCTTTTACTAAATGAAGTTGACTAAATTATAATTCTAATTTCCAGCCTAGAAAAAGATTGTTACAAATGGATTCATTCAATCAGTTTGGAATGTTTTAAATGTATTTCTCATTCATAATACATCCATTTATTAAGAAAAATTATGGATGCATTTATTGAAGCGTTCTTACAAATCAATGTTATT